AAATGTAATAAAATAATAATAAAGTATTGTCGAAGGCTTTCATAGCTGGAATCACTAGGTTCTTGTGGGTTTTTTCAGGCTATAGAGCCTCTAGAACATGGCCCTATAGCCTGAAAAAACCCACAAGAACCTAATAATAAAGTAATGTATATGTAATAATAATACTAAATAGAGAAAAATAATAAATGTAATAATAATAATAAGCCAATAAAATTATAAATAACTTTGACTCAAGTATAAGCCAGGAGGACCTTTTCAGCCTAAAAAAGGAACCGAAAAACCCAGCTTATACTCAAGTATATACAGTATCTTGGCTCCTGTTCCCCTATTGTTAAGTCAAGCTATGACGAATCACAAGAAAGGATATAAAGAAAAATTAAGATTAAAAAATCAGCCTAAGCCTCATTTAATAAGAAGTGCTTCCCCAGGATGACACTTACATATTCTCCAAGTTATTTTTTTACCATTTTCTCATTCAATGGTTTGTGAGAAGTAGCTACTCTGCTACAATTCTGACATTTGAATTTTTAAAACCAAGGCATAAATCTAGTTTCAGATAGATTTATACGCATTATATTCTATCACTAGTCAGTATACCTTCCAGTCTAAATCAGCATTCTTGGTTCATTAAGGACATTCTGGATGTCTTGCCTGCCTCCACTGGGTGTTGTAGAATGGTAGAATTTTATTCTTCCTGTTATGCTTTCATCCCTTTGTTACAGATATCATAGAAAGATTGGTTCCACGTGATGAGAGACGTTGTGCACACCCAAAGGGATGCAGTTCTGACTGGTTTTCCAGAGACTTGGACCCACATAAAACTTGGCAGGCCTTTTACAGATACTGCATCAAACTTGCTGGTCAAATGCATGTGCCTTTAGGGAAAATGCTGTGACTAAGATCCACACCTGGATAATAGGCTTCATGGGTGTGATGCAGTTCTGTCATTGCTTAATAGCTTAGCAAGAGTTCCATTGGGCCCAGGACATCTGTCATTTTATGAAATTTTATTTGTACTTTCATAATTAATCACTACTTGGAGAGGTCTAAGAAACAACTCATTAATTTGACCTAGCTGGGAAGGAATAAAATTACAGACGTGAAACACATATTTAAGGTCATCTAGTCCAACCCAGTAGGACAAATATTAACTTGCTTTGTAGTAGAACTAGGAAAATTTGAATGGTTTACCAGCATTTTAAGAAATCAAATTGTTATGCCCATCAAAAAAAAAAGGTAAAGGTGTCACCTGATATTAAGTCTAGTCATGTCCAACTCTGGGGGGTGGTGCTCATCTCCATTTCTAAGCCAAAGCGCCGGCGTTGTCCGCAGGCACCTCCAAGGTCATGTGGTCAGCATCACTGCATGGAGCGCCGTTACCTTCCTGCAGAAGCGGTACCTATTATCTGCCAAATCAATGCCAGGCATGTTGCTGTTGTTTATAACACATTACTTCCAAATATGTGCTACACAGTCCCAATGCAGAATCCTATACGTTTTGGGTCCAGGATCCTATCTCCCTGTAGGAACCCAGGAATACATTGCCTGGAGAAGACCTTCTTTCTGTCCCATCAGCTTTTCAGCCCCAGAAGGTGGAAACAAGGGAAAAGTCTCTTTAGTGGTTGTTTCCATATTTTGGAACTCCTTCCTATAGAGATCAGGAGGGTTTAATCTTTTCTCTACCTTCTGGCAATAGATCATTTTTTTTTTCTGCCAGGCTTTTATAAACTGATGCAATGCTGTGCAGTACTAGTATTATTTTTAAGACCTTGTATAGAGGTATTGTTAACACATTAGATATGTTTAATGTTTACTGAATTGAACTTAGTGTTTAATTATTTTGTAAATCTTGCATTTATGCTTTTATTGGCTTTGCATTGTTTTAATATGTTCTTAGCCACTAGCAGTTCCTCAAGTCGCTCCTGACACACACAAAAAAGGCCACATAGAATCCCAGGATATAAGGAAAAAGATAAATACATAATTCTCAATGCACAGGACCTATTTTATACTTCTGCAGAGCAAGTAGGACATGCTTTGGGATAGTTTTGTAAGTGGTCTGCTTTCCTAAAGAGTGTTAATTCCCCTGTCTCCCATTGTCTTCTCATACATTGAGTGCATAATAGTAGCTGATTAAAATATTATAAATTACTAGAATACTGGATTGCTGTGAGTTTTCCGGGCTGCATGGCCATGTTCCAGAAGCATTCTCTCCTGACGTTTCACCCACATTTATTGCAGGCATCCTCAGGGGTTGTGAGGTCTGTTGGAAACTAGGCAAGTGAGATTTCTGTTGAATGTGCAGGGTCAGATAAAGAAATCTTGGCTGCTTGTGGCAAGTGTAAATGTTGCAATTGCCCACCTTGATTAGAAGTGAATGGCTTTGCAACTTCAAAGTCTGGCTGCTTCCTGCCTGGGGATCCTTTGTTGGGAGGTGTTAGTTGGCCCTGATTCTAGTTTTCTGTCTGGAATTCCTTTGTTTTTTTAGTGTTACTCTTTATTTACTAGAATACTATTTCCTTGTGTTCACTTTTAATGTATGCTACTCCTTTGTAAACTTTTGCCTATGTCTTAGAGGGCTATCTTCTCATAGCCTACTATCCAAAGGACATAATCTGGAAGACAAAATGCTAGACTTCCAAATTTGTGGACTTTTGATTCTGTGAAGTCTGTCAGTATGGCCAAGGATAAAAATATTCCGGGATTTGTCATCCAAAACTTCAGGGGAGTCAAAAACTCTCTGCCTGTTGCTGAGGCACTAGTGCGTTTCATCATCTTATCTATTTAACTTATGTACTGCATATATCTATGTAAAGCAGGATTAGACTCAGAGAAAACAGCCTTGAAAATTGGAGGAAGGAACATCAAAAATTTAAGGTATGTAGATGACACTATACAACTTGCAGAAAATAACAAAGACTTGGAATGATTATTGAAGAAAATCAAGGAAGAAAATGCAAGGGCGGGCGAGAGGAAGTTTAATTTGAGAGATGGTAATCTGGCCAAGTTGATTTAGTCAGCCGCATATTTCAAAGGAGTGATTGTGACCAGTGAGACACTCAAAATGGCTTCTACATTGCAAAACTTAGGTCTTGCAGAGTTTGTGTGTACAACAGGATGCAATCTGTGATGCAGCTGAGATGGAGCAAACTTGACTCTCATCCCAGACACTCAAATATGAAGTCACTTCAGTGTGAGGCCACATCCTTGCCTCCAAAACCTAGGCGAGAACCAGCCATTGCAAAACTCTCTCCTTCAAGAATCATAGAATCATAGAATCAAAGAGTTGGAAGAGACCTCATGGGCCATCCAGTCCAACCCCCTGACAAGAAGCAGGAATATTGCATTCAAATCACCCCTGACAGATGGCCATCCAGCCTCTGCTTAAAAGATGAAGTAAAGACAACCTTCCTGATCAGTTTTCCACGCATTCTTGGCAGGGGTTTGGACTGGGTGGCCCACGAGGTCTGTCCCAACTCAATGATTCTAGGCATCCTCAGAGGTTGAGGGGTCTATTGGGATTTATTTATTTATTTCAAATATTTGTACCCCGCCCTTCTCTACCCCCGAAGGGGGACTCAGGGCGGCTTACAGCTGGAAACAATTCGATGCCTCCCATATACACACAGATAAAACAGCAAATACAAAATAGATAAAATATTAATATAATTTAAAACCATTTAAAATAGTGCAAATTCAGTTGGCCAAATCTAAATCTTGAGTTCTACAATCAACAACTTGGTCCGAAGCCTGTCCATAGTCCATTGACCATAGCATTGTCATCATTTATCAACCTACTATCCAAATCCCTGGACCCATAGCCACATTTTCAACTTTTTCCCCGAAGGACAGAATGGAAGCAATTGACCTAATTTTGCTGGGGAGTGAGTTCCACAGGCAGGGAGCCACCAATGAGAAGGCCCTGTCTCTCATCCCCACCAAGTGTGGTTCCGACATAGGCGGGATCGAGAGCAGGGCCTCCCCGGAAGATTGTAAGGTTCTAGGTGGTACGTAGGGGGAGACAAGTAAGCTGGAAACTAGGCAAGTGAGGTTTATATATCTGTGGAATAATGTCCAGAGTGGGAGAAAGAACTGTTGTCTGTTTGAGGCAAGTTATTTGTCGTGTCAGGGCAACCAGTCCATTATATTACATTTCTAACAGAACAAAGCAAACAAACAGACAGACAAATACAAACTTGTGAGTTTGGTTGTTGGTTAAATGTCCTTTGACCAGTAGCTGGCCACTTGGAGTGCTTCCGGTGTTGCTGCAAGAAGGTCCTCCCTTGTGCATGTGGCAGGGCTCAGGTTGCATTGCAGCAGGTGGTCAGTGGTTTGCTCTTCTCCACACTCGCATGTCGAGGATTCCACTTTGTAGCCCCATTTCTGAAGGTTGGCTCTGCATCTCGTGGTGCCAGAGCGCAGTCTGTTCAGCGCCTTCCAAGTTGCCCAGTCTTCTGTGTACCCAAGAGGGAGTCTCTCATTTGGTATCAGCCATTGGTTGAGGTGCTGGGTTTGAGCCTGCCACTTTTGGACTCTCACTTGCTGAGGTGTTCCAGCGGGTGTCTCTGTAGATCTTAGAAAACTATTTCTAACTATTTCTAGATATTTCTAGATATTTGAGGCAAGTGTGAATGCTGCAATTGGCCACCTTGATTAGCACTGAATAGCCAGGCAGCTTCAAAGCCTGGCAGCTTCCTGCTTGGGGGAATCCTTTGTTGGGATTTCTTTGAGTCCGGGGCGATGCGCGTTCCGTCCAGCAGGGGGCAGCGGCGCTTTCCCGCTAGGGGAGGGGAAAAATACCCATATATGTCTATATTGCCAAAGATCCGGAACAGCAAAGGGGAGAAAGGAAGGAGGCGGGGTAAGTGGGCTGTCAGGAAGGAGGGAGGGAAGGCGGGCGCAAGGCTGAGCAAACACAACCCGTGCCGGCTGGCTGCTTGGCTCAAGCTGCAGAGAGAGAGAGAGAGAGAGAGAGAGAGAGAGAGAGAGAGAGAGAGAGAGAGAGAGAGAGAGAGAGAGAGAGAGGAGGGACACATCTTGGTCTTGGCTGGACGGGCAGGCAGCGCTCTCCAGACCCTCTCAAGCTCCCTCTTCTCCTTCCTTCGCAGGATGCCTTCCTCGGCGCTCGGGCTGGCCTTCCTGGCCTTGCAGCTGTGCCCAGCTGTGCTCGGGGGAGCCTGGCAGCGCTTCGCCGTCTTGGACCGAGGGTGGCCCGTGTTCGCCACCAAGGTGAGCCAGGAGCCTCCAGGAAATCTCCCCCCCCCCCCTTGAGTAGCAAAGAGGGCTTCTACACCAGGCAGGGGCCAACTTGGGCCCTCCAGGGGTTTTGGACTTCAACTCCCACCATTCCTAACAGCCGGTATGTTGTTAGGAATTGTGGGAGTTGAAGTCCAAAACCCCTGGAGGGCCCAAGTTGGCCCATGCCTGGTTTGGATGAATGAAAGACTGAGAGCCTGCAGCACTTTCCCTGGAAAGGGCCTCTGATTGGCTGAGACGCACCACTTTAGAACGATGTGGAGGAACTATTCTTCTCACCAGCCCTCAGTGTTGGCCAGGAACGGAGGGGCTGATGGGAAATGGAGTCCTTCAATGTTCATAAGGCCAGAGGTTCTCAACCTCTGCAATGCAATTTGTTTTCAGTGCAAATCAGTTCTCCCCACTGTCAGCATGTTGTGAAATTCCTCTGTACTCTGTATGTTGGAAAATTGCACACTCCATTTGTTGTTGTTGTTATTTTACTGACATAAAAGCACAGTATGTCACAGCAAACGAGGTCTATATGCTGGATTTTGTATTACAAAATCACAAGTCGAACACTTACCAAGTGTCTAGGACTGTGTGATGTATCCGCGAATAATGCATGCAGATCCCAGTAAGGTGGCCTTCTGCAGCTGGCAGCTGGTGATTTTGTCAGCGCCAATTGTGTTTAAGTGCAGGCCAAGGTCTTTAGGCACTGCACCCAGTGTATCGATCACTGCTGGGACCACCTTGATTGGCTTGTGCTAGAGTCTTTGCAGTTTGATCTTTACATCCTCATATTGTGTCAGCTTACTATTATTATTGTTGTTGTTCTTCTTGTTGTTGTATTTATTGATACCCCGCTTTATCTCTCCCAAAAGGGACTCAAAGTGGCTAAACATAAAAGCATTAGTACACGATAGGTTGCTGTGAGTTTTCCGGTCTGTATGGCCATGTTCCAAAAGCATTCTCTCCTGACGTTTCACCTACATCTATGGCAGACATCCTCAGAGGTCTGTTGGCAACTGGGCAAGTGGGGTTTCTATATCTGTGGAATGTCCAGGCAGGGTGGGATAAACAATTCTTGTCTGTTGGAGACAACAACAACAACAAACTTTATTTATACCCCGCCACCATCTCCCCAAGGGGACTCAGGGCAGCTAACATGAGGCCAAGGCCAAAGATACAATACAGAAAAATAAAGTGCAAAACAACGAAAAATTACATTGCAGTAATAAAATACATAAAGTAACAGGGTAAAATAAACAGTGCAAAATAACATAATAAAAAGTTGAACACAATAGGCGGCCCAATGACAAGATAAAATGATAAAACCCTGGATGAGATAGGGGGAAAAAGTGTATTTGTAGGGGAGGAGCCCAAAAAGGATGAACAGTTGGGTTAGGCCTACATTACCGACGGACGGACGGGGGGGGGGGGGGGGGGGGGGGGGGGGGGGGAGTGCATCATGAGGAGAACACTGTAGGTGGAGCAGACAGAAATGGGATATGTTGGAATTGGCCAGCTTGATTCACATTGAATAGCCTGGTAGCTTCAATGCCTGGCTGTTTCCTGCCTGGGGGAATCGTTCACACTTGCCTCCAATAGACAAGAGTTCTTTCTCCCACCCTGGACATTCCACAGAAATATAAACCCCACTTTCCTTGTTCCTAATAGACTTCACAACCTCTGAGTATGCCTGCCATAGATATTCGAAACATCAGGAGAGAATGCTTCTGGAACATGGCCATACAGCCCGGAAAACTCACAGCAACCCAATCTTTGACAACACATTAGTATACTACTTAAAATATACAAATATAAAAACTAAAACAGAATTTAATATAAACAGTATTAAAAATTCACAGTGAAAAACCATTCAAATGCAGTTGGATTGCAACGTCCATGAGCATTAGCCAGTACAATCAACAATAGGGTCTGGAAAATCATGGTTTAGTGGTCAAAAGTCCACTCTGAGCATCTAAACATGCCCATAGGAGAGCCCCATCCATCAAATGGTGCACAAAGCATGCTGCTTCAGAAGACAAAGGAAATAATGTAACATAATAAATACCTAAAGCTGTGTTTCCCAAACTCTGGTCTTCCTTTATCTAAAAAAAAAAAATCAACAAGAAGAAAAACACCCAATAAAATGCAGGCATATTAGCTAAATAAAGCGACACAATTGTATATTATACAATACAACTATTTGTAAACAAAAAATACGACAAATGTCCTACTGTTTATTTGATTGTTCCCTTTGTCGGCTCCCTTTAAACCACTGGTTCCCAACCTTTTTTTGATCAGGGACCACCTTCCAACATTAGTTCCAAAAGGGTTACAAATCTGTTTTTTGTCAACTTTAGATTAGGTTTGGTTATTGGGGGTGCTGATTCAGAAAATTGTATTGGATAGACCACATCAGATCTACTTTCTGATACAGAACATATGCCATCCTGTAGTCGCCATCTGCTCACCCACAGAAAACCATATTTATGAATTATAAGAGGGTTTTGTGAGACCTGTTGCTCTCGTTGCAATAGTATAGTAATGGTGAGGCCGCAGACCATATTTTAGTTCTTGCGGACCATTGGTGGTCCACGGACCACAGGTTGAGAACCACTGCCTTAAATAATAACGTTACCCCACTTCTACTTATGGCAACACTTTAGTAATGGATCAGTCGCACAGTTGATCAGTGCCCCCATCGGTTGTTGTGAAAAGATGATGAACAGGCCCCAATTTTTAAAATGTTAGTCAAGGTTTTCTCCTCAATCATCATAGTCCATTTGTCCATTTCTGCTGTTTCACAAATCTTCACCAGCCATTCTTCTTGCTTTGGGATAACTGATTCCATCTACCACTGAGCTTTTGTGTATGTGTCAGAAGCAACTTGAAAGACTGCAAGTCGCTTCTGGTGTGAGAGAACTGGCTGTCTGCAAGGACATTGCCCAGAGGATACCTGGATGTTTTATCATTTTGTGGGAAGCTTCTCTCATGTCCCATCATGGGAAGCTGGAGCTGACAGACAGGAGCTCACCCCTCTCCCGGGATTTGAACTGCCGACATTTTGATCAGCAGTCCTGCCGGCACAAGGGTTTAACCCATTGCACCACCAGGGGCTCCACCTCTGAGCTGAGCATATACAACTCTTGCAGAAGTTATATCAGGCATGGGCAAACTTCAGCCCTCTCGGTGTTTTGGACTTCAGCTCCCACCATTCCTAACAGCCTGCGTTATATATTGTAAAAAAAATCCTAAATTTTCTTTATAGATTATTGCTTAGCATTCCTAACAAAACAATGCTCTCATTTTAAGTTTAACCTTAATAATGTCTTCCAGCATCATATGTAGTTGAGTTCAATATTTCTGAGCCCCCAAACTCTGGTTTTCAGGGTGTTTTTGACTTAGGCTCCCAGAATCTGTGACTCACATTCCCTATCAGTGAAATTGTCATTTATTTATCTGTTTATTGTATCTTTGCTGCCATGTGGCTGAAAGTCAGTGCGGTGGAGCAAAACAAACCAAAGTCCTAGAAAAAACCATAAAACAATTACAGCGCTCTTTTGAAAAGACTAATTTCCACTTTCCTTCGTTTCCCTATTGACTGGATCTATAGCATTCATTCTTACTGCTAATGAAAAGTGACATTTCAACATCATGCATTTCAACAGATCCTGCGTGATGTTAATTATAATCGCTTCAGTCAAATTAAAAGGAAGAGATAATAAAACCCAAGCATGAAAAACAATAGTTCCCAAGATTCCACAGTGTTGAGCCATGGCAGTTAAAGTGGGGTCAAACTGCATTAATTCCACAGTGTAGATGCACCTGAGTTGGAACTTTGGGAAGTGTGGCAATGAGTTTCCTGGCTCCTTTCCCTCATTCAGATAGAATTTGGGCGTATCAGTTTACCAGCCCTGGAGCTAGTAATCAACAAACTCTTTCTTAACAGTTCAAAAATAGAATTTATAAATTAGGCCACGTCATTCATTCATTTCATTCACAAGTAATATCCTGCTTTCCTCCCTTGAGTGGCTTTGATGATGTCTCTTAATTCTAATATTTTAGCAGTTAAGGCAATATTTCCAAGTTTAGCATTTGTCTATAATTTGTGTAGCAGCAGGATAGTATTTATTTATGTGAGCAGACCCAAGCAAGTCATGGGGTAAATGGGGGCGTTAGCTCTTAATCTTTCCGAGAAATCAATTCTGTGCCACCTCTTTTATGGCATGGTGTTTGTGCCCTGTGAGAGGGCTCCCCTTAGGCATCAAGCGCTGCTGTGGGAACGGAAGGCTGGGTTGGATAACACTGTGATAGGGATCTAACAAAGCTCTTCTTAATCACAAAAGATACACATTTTTGGTTGCTTAATACAGTAAATACTTGCAAAAGCAGTTCAGTGAACTGTGTTAATCACTTCAAGTCTGTCCTGTACCTGATCCAATGTGTGCAATGTACGTGTTGCAATCTTGATTCTGGAGTGTTATGGTACATTATAACATAAAACCCTGCCCCCCTCTATACTGCCATAAAAAATCCAGATTATCTGCTTTGAACTGGATATATAGCAGTGCTCACTCATATAATCCAGTTCAAATCAGATAATGTGGATTATCTGATTCAATAATCTGGATTATATGGCCGTGTAGAAGGGGGCCTGAGAAATATGGTATAAACTTTACATAAATCTTTACTGCACCAAAATCTACTTGCTTCTGAAGACCAAACCATGTCCTGTAGGTTTTCGATGATGTCTAGGGTTGCATTTACACTGTAGAATGAATACAGTTTGACACTATTTTCACTTCCATGGCTCAGTGAAATGGAATCCTGGGGGTTGTAGTTTTACAATGTATTTAGCATTTTCTACCGGAGAGTGCTGGTGCCTCACCAAACTATATATCCCATCATTCCATAGCATTAAGCCCTGGCAGTTAAAGTGATGTCAAACTGCATCAATTCTACAGTGCAGATCAGTGGATCCCAAC